TCACCGCGTATACTGCAGTCCTCTCACATCCACCGGGAGACGGTCAGCGGCGGGGGGGTGGGGGGACGGGACCTGATGCGACCGAAGGGCTGCTTTCTGTCCCTTTAGCCCTTCAACCAACAGGACTAACATAAAAAATGGGGGAGTTTTCAGAGGGCGCTGGTAGAGAGTGGGGCTCTCCCAGGGTTTCTGAGCCTCAGCTCCACTGACATTTGGACTGGACCATTCTTTGCTGTGGGGGCCACGTTGTGCACTGCAGGGCATCTAAGAGCATCACCCGTCTCTACCCATTCGACGCCAGTAGCAGCGCCTCTCCCACCTCCAAATGTCTTCAGGCTTCACCAATATCCCCTGGGGAGAAAACTGGCCTCTGATGGCGATCTACTGCTCTAGACCTGGCTGGAATCACATTGAGTTCCCCCGCTTACCAAGTGCATGACATTTTCTTCCCTGAGCCTCAGTTTCCCCATCTGTAGAATGGGGATAATATCAACATCTATTTCACAGGGTCACTGAGATTTAAGAGGTTTAAAGGAGGTTGTAAAATGACTATAACTCAATCAAAAAATGTCTTAAAAAAAGGTTTAAAGGAGGTAGATGAATATCTGGCACAAGGAAGCAAAAAAAAGTGCTTTACTTGCACTCATTTGTGTGTGCACTTAGTTCTATGCGATTTTTTGACATGTGTAGATTTGTGCAGTTGCCACTACAATTAAGATACAAAACAGTTCCACCATAAGGATCCCCTGTGCTACCCTTTCAGAGTCGCAGCCACCTCCCTTGCCTGCTGTGATGTTGTTCATCCTTTTAGTTTCATTTTTTTCTGAGTCACTGTGTTTCTTGAACAAGATTCCTATACCTACTGCCTACTCAGCATCGCTTGGAAATCTGTCGAGTATCTCAAATGTAACCCACCCCAAACTGAACTCTGTTCCCCACCCAGAAAACCTTCAACCCTTCCCACCCCAGTAAACGGAATCTTTGCTGTCACCGTGCCTAGGGTCCCAAACCCCACTCAGCCCGACGTCATCCTTGACTGTGCTCTCTCTCTCCCCCCACGCCCACTGATAAATCCTGCAGATTCCTGCAAATCCAATCATTCTCATCACTTCTACCAACCTGGTCCAAGCAGCTGTCACCTCTTGCTCAGAGGACCTCAAAACCTTCCTAATTGGCTTCCCCGCTTCCTCTCTTGCAAACCTACAGTCTGTTCTCCAGCCCAAGTAATCATTTTAAAACATAAGTCAGTTCAGGGCCAATGACAGCCCATATGGTGCCTTAGGGCTTCTTAGAAAAGCCCACCCACCCCTCAGGTGGCTGTAGCTCTACAAATGGATGGCAATTTTGTACAGTCAACCAACTCAAGTGTCCCTTTTTCCAGATAGACGTAGCACCTCTCCCCACCCTAGTCCCAGGTCTCTCCACTTGGCGGATAGATTCTGAGTGGGTTTCAGACCTTACCTGTACTTTTTGCAGTTCTTATAACATTAAGATGTCCTTAGGAATGTAATTTGTACAGAGGGGCCTTATAAATTGTTGCCTTGTCCTGTGAAGATGATCTTCCAATCATTGTAATCAATTTGTCCATGATGGTCCATGATCGGAAGCAACCCAAATATACCAATCCAATAGAAGAATGGATTAACAGGTCGTGGTGTCTTTATATAATAAAACACTACATAGCAATCATTTTTAAAACTACTGAGTGTTTTTAAAACCACAAGAACATGAGTGAATTTCACAGATATTGTATTGAGCGAAAGAAGGCAAATGACTCCATTTACATGAAGTTCAAGACAAACTAATCAAGGGCTATAGAAATCAGAAGAGCCGTAACCTCTGTGGTGGGGTACATATTGACTGGGAGGGGGTTAAGGAAATCTTTGTTCTCTTTTTTGATCTGGGTGGTGATTGCTCAGGTGTGTAATGTCAAATTTTATTGAGCTCAGGACTTCGTTCTCTGGACTTATTTAAGCTACACTTCAATATAAAATGTAAAAACAACAGTTTGCAGGTATTTAGTACATTATCTGTTTCATGATTATCTTGATTCCTCATCATCTGGAACCCCTCCCCCACTGGAATTTCACGCGGTTCCGCGGCACCTGCGGTAAACTTGCTTCCCATGTTTCCAACCAGAAGATCCTTTGGCTCCTGGTGACACCGCTGATTCTCCCACGGACAAAACGATCATGGATTTGGTGCTGCAGAGTCTGCCGGACAGCCAGGCAGGGTAAGAACGCAAAGTTGGTGTTGGTTCGCGAAGGTAACCTAGAGAGCTTTTTCCCTGGGGAAAGGGCCACTTCCGCAGAAATACTCTAGGATCCTCACGACATGCGACAAACGTTCCAGGGGTATTAGCTGGAAAGTGTGCCCTGTCTTCCCACTGGTCTCCATCACACGTAAGAGGATATGAGGGACAGCATGGCTCAGTGACAGAGCGTGTGCCCAGCACGCACAAGTTCTTGGGTTCAATCCCCAGTACCTCCATTAAAGGTAAATAAACAAATAAAAACCTAATTATCTCCCCCCACCAAATAAATAAATAAATAGATGAGGATATGTTCTCCTAGGGGAAAAAAAATATTCCATTGGCTACACTAAGTATTTTGGAGCGTAAGTCAAGTTCTAGTCGAGTACATGACCTTGGGCGACAGGACTCCAAGGGCAGAAATTTCCCGCTCAGGGCCTCCGCTCTGTGAAGTTCACATATCATCAAAAAAGCCCTTTGCTGTGACCGCATGCATGAATTTAAGCCAACTTCTCCGTTCATCAGCGGATGCAGCATCACCAGCCTTAGGCTCAGTGCAGGCAATCGGTACATATTTCCTGGGTGAATTAGGCAAACTACATGTATCGGGCCTCCCAAAACCCGACTGTGGTTTTCATTGCGTAGGGAGGCATCGCTGCCTAACGCAGGATGCATTTGGGTTAATTGAAAAACACAGGAAGCCAAGCTTTCATTAACCGACGCCATGTTAATGACAAAACCTAGTTAATGTACAGCGGTGTTGTCAGTCTTTGCAGCTACACATCCCTCTGAGGTTTCTCTTGGTCCCTAGGAATCTGAGGAAGCACAGAGATGGGGGGGGGCGGTCCTGAACTGTGGCGATTCATTAATTCATTAACGCTAACGTGTTTCTTTGGTAGTATATTTGGTTTCTAACGTTTTCCATTGAAGACTTTGCATATGTGTATGCCCGTGCATGTGTGTTTATGTGTTGTGTGTGTAGAAAGAGTTATTAAAAGGCATGTGTATTTTGACCTCATATCAGAGGTCAGATGAGAGAAAGAGCAGAAAATACTGAGGGTCTGGAGCTCTGAGTCCCTCTTCAAAGCTCCACGTCTACCGCACACCTTCCCCTGGGTGAGGGCCTTGCCCTCTCTGGGCTTCTGTTTCCTCCACTGAGAAGTAAAGGAGGAAGCTCAGGTCTTCCCCAGGGCCCCTCCAGCTCTGATTGCCTCCTTCAGGCCAGGGACTCTGTGTTATCACCAGGCCTCCTCACTCGCCCTGAAGGACACGCACCAAGGGCCCTTGGCCTGAGAAAAGTGCCTGAAGAAGCAGGCTCTGTTCTCCCCCTGATACTGGTCTCCCAGGGAGGCCACGCTCGGCTGGGCTGGCAAAGGTCCCTCACTATTGCCCTCTTTGAGAAGCGGGGCACGAGGGCCCAGGGTCCCCTTGTCCCTGACTTCTTCCATGAAGAACCAGGTCCATCTGCTCCAGAGATCGGGTACGGCTGGCCAAGTGTCAAAGAGAACGTTCAGAACTCTCGTGCTCATTATCTCAGCCCTCAGCATGCTGTGCAAAGGCACAGCCCAGCAGCTGAGTTCAACGTCTTTGAAGTGGAGGATGCATTACACAGTGGGGCGCCTCTTCCAACTGTGCAGGTACAACTCCAACCCCCCACCACCACCTGGGCTTCTCTTTCCTCCTGATTTTCCCAGATCTCTCCTCCCAGCGATGAGTCCCAGCTTCCTTATCTTGACTAGGATCTTAGCACTTTCTCACTGGCCCTCCTTGGTGACAGTTCCATAGCCACTTTGAACAAGGTTGGAAAAGTCCGTCAGGAATGAAATTCGGTGCAGTCACCATAGAAAACAGTTTGGAGGTTCCTTAAAAAACTAAAAATAGACTTACTCTAGAATCCAGCAATCCTACTACTGGTCATATATCTGGAGAAAACTCCAATTTGAAAAGAGACATGCACCCCGGTGTTCATGGCAGCACTATTTACAGTAGCCAAGACATGGGAGTGACCTAAATGGCATCAACAGATTAATGGATAAAAAAGATGTGGTGAAAAAGTATATGTATGTGTATATATATGTATGTGTGTGTGTATGTATGTATGTACATATCTACACATAGTGGAATACAACTCAGTCATAAAAAAGAATGAACTAATGCCATTTGCAGCAACATGGATGGACCTAGAGATTATCATACTAAGCGAAGTAAGTCAGAGAGAGAAAGACAAATACCATATGACATCACTTATATGTGGAATCTAAAAAAATGACACAAATGAACTTATTGACAAAATACAAAGAGACTCACAGACATAGAAAACAAACTTATGGTTACCAAGGGGGAAAGGGCAGGGGGAAGGAATAAATTAGGAGTTTGGGATTAGCAGATACAAACTACTATATACAGAATAGATAAACAACAAGGCCCTACTGTACAGCTCAGGGAGCTGTATTCAATAGCTTATAATAACCTATAATGAAAAAGAATATATATATAACTGAATCACTATGCTGTCCACCAGAAACCAACACAACATTACAAATCAACTATACATCAATAAAAATTTTTTTTAAAAGAAGGGAAAAAAAGAAAAAGTCCCTCCACACAAACCCACCTCCTCCATCTCTGGCCAAGGTGTTTCTCCCATTTGTCCCTCCAGAAGCCTCTCTTATGTGTTTCTTTTCTTCATGAAGCCAGCAGCTCCCAGCAATGCTCTGGAGCTTTTCATAGTAAGGCCAGAGGTAACGGAGGCGTCAGGGAGATGCTGGGAGACTCTAAATTCTGTGGCGGCAGCAACATCAAGAAACCACGTGGGTCTGACTAGGCATCTGGCTTTCGCATCTGGGAGACTGAAGCACCATCTTTATTTCACACATCCACAGGAGTAGGGCTGACATTCCTCCATGTGAAGATGGGGAACAAGATCTGTCAGCTGAAGACAGAATGTTTCTGGAAGGGTTTCCCATCTTGAAAGAGGAGCTAGAAGTGGACATCGGCAAGCTCCGTGCCCTGGCAGACAACGCTGACACCACCCACAGAACATCTGCCAAGATCAGAATTGTGGCCAACTCCATCACCGTGGTCTCAGAAGCCGTGAGCATCCTAGGCTTGGCCCTCGCTCCAGCAACAGCAGGAGGAAGCCTGCTGCTCTCTGCAGCTGGGAAAGCTTTGGGGACAGCAGGGGAGGTCACCAACATCTTGAATGATGCTTTGGAGAGCTTCCGCAACCAAGAAGCCCAAGGGAAGGTCAGTGGCCTGATGCCCACCTGTGGCCAAGATGTCAGGAAAGCTGGGACAGACTACGTCACAGATGCCAGAAAAGTGGTCCAGATTTGTGCAGGCGCCATTAAGGATATCCAGAAGGACATCCGTGCCTTTCAGACAGCCAGAGCCCACCCGCACCTGGCCGCTGCCGCCAAGCATCTCCTGATCACTGGCCAGGTCTCAGCCCAAAAGAGCAGGCAGGTGCAAAGGGCCTTTGAAGGTACCATGCTGGTGATGAAAACAAACGCTCGCTTGCTGGGTAGTGTGAAGGCTGGCTTCTCCCTTGGCATGGACTTGGCCTCCCTCCTGAACGACTGGCAGAGGCTGAAGGAGGGAGCAAAAACAGAGCTTGCAGAAGAGCTCAGGGCCCAGGCTTGGGAGCTGGAAAGGAGGCTGACAGAACTCACCCAGTGCTACGAGAACCTGCAGCAGAAGGTGAGGCTGTGGCTCCCCAGGGCTGGTGCTGGAGGGAAGGGGAAGCCTTGCCTGGGGCTTATGGGCGCCAGGGTTGACGGGAAGGGTGCTGAGCATGGAATTTTCACAGATGTTCCCGCGGACGTGGGGCATACAGTGGCCCTGAAAGTCCAAACGGTATCAATTACATCATGAAGATAACAGTGCCAGTCCTGGACAGATCTGGTCATGCCTTCTGTTTCTCCCTCCATGTTCCTTGAGGTCCGTGTGCCCGGAAGAGGGTCTTCTCAGTCGTACAGAAGAGGCCACTGAGCCACAGGGGATGTCATGGAATGAAATGTGTTCCCCTAATATTTATACGTGGCAGCTCTAGGCCCCAAGGTGACTTTTTGGAGATGGGGCCTTTGGGAGGTGACTGAGGTTGAATGAGGTGGTAGCAGCAGGGCCATAATCCTATGGGACTAGTGCCCTTATAAGAGGAGGAGGAATTGTGTCCATGTTGGTTCATCGATTGTACCAAATATGCCACACTGATGAGGGATGTTGAGGGTAGGGGAGTATATATGTGTGGGTGAGGAGGGCTATGTGCCAGCTCTCTGTATTTTCTGCTCAGTTCTCTGAACCTGAAACTCCTCTAAAAAGTGAAGTCTATTAACTAAAAAAAAAAAAAAAAGAAGAGGAGGAAACACAGAGGGCTCTCTCTTCCTCTGGCTGCACAGCAGAAAGGCCATGTTAGGACAAAGCAAGAAGGCGGCCGCCTACAAGCCAGGAAAAGTCCTCACCAGGAACTGAATTGGCTGGCGCCTCGATCTGGGGCTTGCAGCATCCAGAACGAAGAGAAAGTACATTTCTGTTGTTTAAGCCCCCAGCCTGCAGTGTTCTGTTATGACAGGGAGTGTCTGTACCTTGCCAGGTGCCGGCAGGGAGAGTCAGGATGACAGCTGGGGAGCCTGACTTCCGAGTCTGGGCCTGGGTCTCCACGCTGTGCACCCGGAAGACTTCTGGAGCTTTCCTCTGATTGGTGTTTGTGTTTATTTCCAGAAACTCTTGCAAGAAAAAACGCCTATGAGCTCATCTTCAGAGGGAACCATGGGAACTGTGCCTCTGCCCCAAGCCAGGCTTGAGGAAGCAGGATGCCCGGTGACAGGAGAGGACATGAAGGCAGTTGAGCCCAAGGGCCTCTGAGTGGAATAAAAGGGGATCAGGGTGGGGGTGGGCAACGTTGGCAGAGGAGATGTCTGGAGGCTTACCAGCTGGGAGGTCCATGAGGGGTCTGAGGGCACTACCAGTTAGTGAGTGTCACACAGTCGCCAGTGGAGGTCAGTCTCTCCCCGCCCTCCTTCCTTCACACGTGTAACTCATTCCCTTGACTTCCGCCCCCCCACTCATTCACTTGCATGTAGTCAGTCGGCTAAACACACGTGGTTCGACGCTGAGCTCTGCATTAAGCACTGACCTAAGACGGGAGGGTTGCTGGGGTGAAGGGCACATTGTGTTCTCTCTTATATCAACTCACCTTGTGTTTCCTCTGGGTGCTCCTCCTCCCCGACCTGGGCAGTAACCACTGGAGAAGATCTTGGGTTTGCACATAAAAGGATGTCACAGGAAGGGGCCCCTCTGTCCACCCCACGACACAAGTTCTTGGAGCCTCTCAGGACCCTGGAGGCTGTAGGACCGCTCCTGAACGCCCAGTTTACCCCTCTTACACATTTTTTGTTCGTTTGTTTGTTTTTATGTTTCAGCTGCTATTTTAAAAGGAGGGCGTGGACATTAAATACAACTTCTTAAAATTCAGGAAAGTGAAAAATAGGTGGAAAAATAATGCCCCAGTCCAGGGTGACAACTGCTGGTATTTTGATGTAGAGATTTCCTTCCTGTGCTTGTCTTGCTTTGGGCGTCACTGCTCGCTGGGGACCCTCCCTCAAGGAGGCACTGTAAAACATAAATTTCTTTTCTGTAACCCACTGGGTTTTCTTTCTCTTTCATTCTCAATCCCTTCATTTGACTACAGATCTATAACTTTCATTTTGCTGTGTTTACTTAGCAATGTTTTCTACCATTCCATGTTCCACTTCATTTTTTACAGATATTTTTTACGTTGCAGAATATTCTCTTGAGCCGACATACATGCTTTTAATTAGACATATATTAGTCATCACTTCTTTAAGTGGCCCAAACCTATTCAAACTGGCTTATGCAAAAGAGGAATTTATTTGCTTCCATACTTAAAGAGCTTGTGGGGGGTTATATAAAAATGAATATATATGTATATGTATGACTGAAGCATTATGCTGTACACCAGAAATTGATATAACATTGTAAACTGACTATACGTCAATTTAAAAAAATACATATGTATGTATGTGTGTGTGTGTGTGTGTATATATATATACACATACACATGCAAAAAAAAAAGCTTAGGGAAACAGTGGGCGTCAGGTGTGTCTAGATCCTGAGGATAAAAATGATGTCATCAGGCGTCTGTCTTTGCGTTTCTCAGACACGCTTCCACCAGGTTCAGGCACTTTGGCCTCAGCATCCCCAGGTGCGCCCACTCCCAGCTGGGGGCGCCCAAGCGGAAAGGGGCGGGGCAAGAGTCCAGGGGCCCACTCTGATTGGTCAGGACTGGGTCCTGTGCCTTTGCCTGCGCTGGGTGCTAGGATGGGCTACCGGAACTGCCTTCGGATCTAAGGGTTTTAAATCCTTGCGATCCCACATCGCAGCCATGTGCTTCCTGTTTTGGTTGCTCTCATTCCCTTGTTATGAGCGAAACCGTAAGTAAACAGCTTTCGCCCCTTTTAATATTTTCTCTTAGTGGGTGTGCGCATCCTCGAAGTTCCGAATAAACACGATCAGTAATAATACCTGCATGAAATACGCAGTCGCTAAACTTGGGAGGGGAGTCTGCTTGTTCTGTGAGAAGTTTGGAAGAAAAAAAAGAAAAGAATGAATCAGAGGAGATTGGAGACTCACCTCTGACACTGATTTGCTTGGTCTCCTTTCTGAGTTTTGGTTTCTCCAAGCCACGAAGTAAGTGTAGCCTGAATAAAATCCAGGACCGCATCTGGGCGCAGATTTGCAGCGCCTGGCTCACCGCAGTCCTGGAGAAAATACCCTTGAGGGAAACTCGAATCTTTACTATTGCTCTGAGCCTGCATCAGAGGGGGCGGGAGAACCTTAGGTTCCCTCGGCTTCTGCTTCTCTCATTCTTAGACTCTTCTAGGAGGGGCAGAAGCTCGGAAGAGACTTTCCTCTTCCCCTGTGTCTCCGGCCCTTACTTCCTGACTCACCGCCCAAGCAGCCCTTCTCTCTCCCTCCCTGAAATGCCTTCAGCCCCCAGCTGCTTCCCTCTCCGGGTCATGTTCTGCTGGTGAACAAATGGCTTTTCCTTGTTTTCTCTCCCCACTAGTTAAGTCTTTGTCCTCCTCCAAGAGAAGGCATCAACTCCCCGTGGTACTCAGGGCAACCCCGCCCCCACCACTGTCCCCCTCGCCCTTCTGGGTTGAGTAGGGTTCTGCAGGGGCGCCCCTGAGGCGTTCCAGGCCCCTCCACCACGGTCGGTCGGGCATCCTGGGAAACCTATCAGTGCTGAGGTGTGATCTGTGTTTCTTAAGCGGAGGAAGACACACACATTCACATGCCCGGGTGAGAGGGGAGCCTTCTGCCAGCAGATGCCCCTCAGTGCCACAACTGACACAGTGCAAAGCTTTTCCAACGTGTTGGGCCTTCCAGAGTGGCCAGAGAATTTGTCCCGCCCATGCTCAGATCTGTGACTGCAGCAGACAGGGTTCAGCAGTCCAGCTCTTGACCCGTCCGCCCACGCCGCAGGAAAATCGGGGATCTCAGTCACTCCGCTGAACCCCAGCATCGCTGGGGAGGGGGAAGGGGGCCCGATGAGGTTTGGGAACCTCTCCGATCCAGCTCCAGATCCCTCAGCGCCTGACAAGCTGGGGGTGGCCTCCAAGGGCCTCGGTGTGTCATTTCAGCCCGTCCAGGCCCACCCTTACCAACCATAGGCTTCAGTTGGCTCTTGAATTTGTGATGAAACATGCAAGCTATTATCAGCTAGAAATCACACAATCTCAGGTCTAAAATCTAACTTTCAACCGAAAGACAGAAAGGCCATTGTGTTCTAGGCAACGTGTAATGTTACCTTCAAAGAAATTGCTGTCTGGGGAGAAGTATATTCCAAAGCAATCTGAATCCTTTCTTCGTCTCTCAAGAAGATGAAAAGGTGTGTGTTGGGGGGAACCGGGATGAAGGGAGAGATTTTTTTTTTTAATTGAAGTATAGCTGATGTACAATGTTGTGTTCGTTTCAAAAGATATTCTTAATGCATACTTATAATTGACTTAGACAAAATTGCAGTGGAAAACTAGACTTCCTCTCTCTGATGGGCAAGTTCAAGACCATGCAGACTAGTCCTGTTCAGTATGGGAGCCACTAGCCATGTGGCTATTGAGCACTTGAAACGTGGCAAGTCCAAATTGAGATATGCTGTACGTGTAAAATGCACACTGATTTCAAAGACTTAGTGTGAACAAATACATAAACTATCGGATTAATCATTTTAATTGATCACATGTTGAAATGATAACATTTTAGATATTGCATGAAATAAAATATATTATCTTATTTAAAATAATAAAATAATAAATAATTCAAAATCCATTTCACTTTTTTTTAATGTGATGAGAGAGAATTTCTAATTACATATGTGGCTTGCACTGTGGCTCTATTGGACAGCATTGATGTAGACAATAAAATAAGAAAGATGAAGATAATTTGAATGATGAGCTGGGTTTGTGGGGGCCTAATATTAGCGCCTCTTTTCTCCCACCCGAGTTCAGAACCAGGGAAGGAGTAGACGAGGGGTCAGGCAGGTGGAGATGACATCAGCTTGATTAAAGTTGTTGGGAGGAAGTGGCTTTGGGTTGGCCGGTCAAGTTGGCTTGCTATTACTCCCTTCCTGAATTAGATGGTCATACCCGCCTCTCCCCCCCACCTCCTGCCACGTGCAGTACTCAGTAACCTCCCGCCACCCTGTGCTAGAAGCACAGCATCCTGGGTGCTCTCAGAGGGTCAGCAGGTCCCCAGTCAGGGCTCCTTCTGGCCAACCTGCCTACCATGTCGCTCACTCATTCTTCCATGGAGTTGGTAAGCAAGAGGATGCCGAGAGGCTTGGCATGTACTTGGGTGGAATCCCTCCATAGGAAACAGGGAATTAGTGATTCTTCCATTACTTCCTAACCTTCTTTTAATTAAGCATTGGACTTAACCGTAAGCTCATGGTCAGCAGGTGGCAATCAACCGTCTGGCAGAACAAACCTGCTGTCTTCAGTGGGCTGCTCCCTGGGTAGCAATCACTCCTGCTCTCTGCATCACCCTGGGTCTACTGCTGGGCAGCAGAAAGTTTGCTGCTGAGAAGATTTGAAATTTGTCAGATCAAAACATGAATTAACCCCAAAGTCTTGCTCGAACCAGAGATGAAAGTACACTCTCTGCTCCCATCCCCCATCCCCAAAGCTACCAAGCCATGTTCAATATAGCTCTTCAGAGATTTTGCAAAGAGATCAAGATTTAGCACAAAAATATTCCAAGAGTAAATGACCAACAGTAAGAAACTCCATATTGCGTATGCACCTGCTTCCATTACAAATTGCCCAGGAAGAAACACTGAAATTTGATCTCCTTGCAAATTAAAGTTTAAAGGAATTAGTCTAAAATCAAACTGCTTGGCTGAAGTATCTGAGTTTCTTATAATGAACACATAGAAGGTAAACAGGTTTTGAACACAGAGCTGAAAAGATACAACCTTCGTCAGTTTCTAGGTGAATTCTAAAAAGTCAGTCTCAGCTCTCCTGGATCAAAAGAGCTTTTCCTGAGAACTAATAGCATGCCAGAATTCATCCTGGGACATGAAGATTACAAAACGCACATCCATCGGAGACTCTCTGAAGACTTCCATCCTTGGTTTCTGTAGCTCTATTGTCCTGCTGAGGGTTGTTATGAAGAGTCTGAAGCCAGTGAGCCTGGCGGCCCAGGTCTGGTAAATTTGCTAGGTGTGGCCTGGTGGTACCGTTCTGTAACCATTTCCTCCTGGGACATGATGTGCTCTTTTATTTCTAGAAAGATTTTTTTGCACCTTATTTAAAAATATTTGTTCTGTTCACATTTCTCAGTTTTCTTCTTTGGAGATTCCAATTAGCATAGCATTGGAGTTTTGCCTTTATTTCATACATTTTTTGCTGATCCTTTTTAGCATTTCATTTTTACTTCATTTTGCTCATTTTCCTCATCTCTGTCTTTGGTGTTGCTTACTTGTTTTTTTTTAAGTCGTATCTCTTTTCTCGTGTATGAATTCCAAGAAGCATTTACTTTTGTGATGGATTTTACTTTTCTCTCTTTCCTCAGCTTTCACCAGTTTCCAGTTAATTTTCTAGTTTGTCTTTCTGTACCTTCCCTTCTCAGATCTCCATTTTACCATCCTGTGTTGTAGGGGAAATTGCTTCACTAACTTTAAAAAAATTAATTGCAAGATACCTGTTCACAATTTTTATCAGCTTTTTGGCTTCACTTTTCTGGTGAGTGTTCTTTATCTGCCATTTGTATTTGTTGTTGTTATTACTAGCTTCCTTTTTTGACTTGTAATATATATTAAAAAAAATTTTTTTTAAATGGAGGTACTGGGGATTGAACCCAGGACCTCATACATGCCAAGCATATGCTCTACCACTGAGCTATACCCTCCCCCTATTTTTTTATTGTGGTAAAATCTATATAACATTAAGTTGACTTGTTAGCCATCAGTGGCATTAAGCACACTCACATTGTTAGGCAACCCTCACCACCATCCATCTTCAGAACTTTTTCATCTTCTCCAACTGAAACTCTGTCCTCATTAAACACTAACTCCCCATCCCCCCGCCTCTCAGCCCCAATAACCACACTTCCACTTTCTATCTCTATGAATTTGACTCTTCTAGGTTCCTCAGATCAATGGAATCATACAATATTTGACTTTTGTGACTGCTTTATTTCACTTAGTTATATCAAAATAAATTTCTAAGCTCAAGGTGGAACTGCTCCTGCCTCAGGTGCCATGTTGGCAAGCCGAAACTTCGATAACTTTCCTTGTCCTGTAAATGGTCCACTTGACCAGAAACATGGTCTATCCAGTTCGGATGACACCAAGCCAACTCTGGCTCTTCTTACCCTAAATAAGGTTGATGGTGGGGCCCCAACCAATCAGATGTTTTCTGTTTTTCTCTTCCTTGTTCTTTATCATATAGAAGCTTCTGGCCTTCCACCCCATTTTGCAGTTATCCCAATGGTCACTGTCTACTTCATGAAGTGTTCAATAAAGTTCATTCGTATCACCTAAATTTTCTTCTTTAACCACTTTTTAGCAGTTAGTGTAATGTCTTCAAGGGTCATCCTTGTAGTTGCCTTGTCAGAATCTCATCTCTTCTTAAGGCTGAATAACATTCCACTGTACAGATACACCACTGTTTATTTAGCCATTCCTCCGTTAATGGACGTTTGAGTTGTTTCTACCTTCAGGTATCGTGAATAATGCTGATACGAACACGGATGTCCAAGTGTCTGTTCTAGACCCTACTTTCAATTCTTTTGGTTATATACCCAGCAGTGGAACTCCTGGATCACCTGGTAATTATAATTTAAATTTTTTTTGTAACTTCTGTACCCTTGGCAGTGGCTGCACCATTTTATATTCCCACCAGCGATGCTCAAGGGTTCCAGTTTCTCCACAGTCCTGTCAACACTTGTTATTTTCTGTGGTTTTCTTGGTTTTGTGTTTTATAATAGTCATCCTTACAGGTGTGAGGTGGGGTCTCACTGTGGTTTTGATTTGCATTATCCTAAGTGATTAGTGATGCTGAGCATCTTTTCATCTGCTTATTGGCCATTTGTATGTCTTTGGAGAAAAGTCTGTTCAAGTCATTTGGCCATTTTCTGGTTGGGTTTGTTGTTTTGTGTTGTTCTTGGGTTAATATTTTTCTGTGTGGAGACCT